ACATGTTAGAGACTGCTCAGACTTCTCAGTTTAAGACTTTTTTTGGCAAATGCTAACTGCTTTTCAGGAAAAATCCAGGAAGCCCTGTTTTGAAAGATACATGTGTTTCTTCTCTGGTTTGTTGTGAGGTCTTGAAGAGATGTGTCCTGTTGCTTGGGTTGCTTAGGTTTACTGATAAAAGTAATATCTTGTGCCCAGGGTTTTGCTTTAAAAACTGTTAAACAAGTTGCATTTACACACATTGAAGCCAAATTTTGTCTTTGTTTTTCTTCTAGTACCATGAGCTCACGACACTCTGCCAGCCCAGTTGTTTTCACCAGTGCCAGAAGCTCCCCTAAAGAAGAGCTTCATTCTGCTACTTCTCCCCAGCTCGCACCTTCTTTCTCCTCCTCCTCTTCATCCTCATCTGGTCCCAGGACTTTCTACCCTCGCCAGGGTGCTACTAGCAAGTATCTGATCGGATGGAAAAAACCAGAAGGGACAATAAACTCAGTGGGGTTTATGGATTCAAGAAAGTAAGACTGTTTTTTTTGGTTCTCTTGTTTAGTTATTTGCTTTAATTGTAGAGAAATTTGAAAGAAGGAATTGAGAAACAAAGTTCTTCTTTGTTATAGAAGAACTCAAGACTATTTAACAGGATGCTTAGTCTTCTGTAGAACTTTAATCTAGAGGTTTGCAGTTAGGCTTAAATATATGATAGTTAGCTAATCTTGTTCCCTGTTAACTTGTAAAAGATTTTTTAATCATTTCTAGAGAGTATGGATTTCACTCCTGTTAAAGCTTGGGACTTCTTAACAGTGACTCAAAATGCTATTTGAGCAAATATTGAAAATCCTCTTTAAATAAAGCCTGAGTTTTCCTTAAGCTGCTCATCCATGTAGTAGTACCGTGCGTGCTGTGCCTTAGCCCTGCAACACTCCCATGTTGCCTTCTGAAGATTGCTGCCAGTATCCAATCTAACTGTCTTAAAGCAAGCCAAGATCTCTGTGTTATAGTCTGCAGCCACCTCTTTCTTGGAAGAGAAATTGAGAAATCACTTACTAGTGGAAAAATATTTTTCCTTTAAGTCTAGTATGACTTGGAAAGAAGTCATTCAGACAGCCCAATTCCAAGTAGTTTATTCAACCCTTCCTGACTTTCATTGGGTCAAGCACAGGACCCTGAGATGATACCAATAACTGGTTGTCAGAAGGAGATGTTGAAACTTTATGCTAACTGCATTATAAAAGCCAGTTAAAAGATTAAAGAAATTGAATGATTTGCTGCTTTTGGGCTCACTGAAGTAATTTGTATTTTTGATTTTTGTACCAAATATGTGTTACTTTAATAGATTCAGTCCCTCATTGAGAAAACATTGCCATAACCTCCAAGTCCATTGCTAGTTGATGTTTTTAAACAATCTTATTGCTTCAACAGGTATCCATTCAGATGAGGCTCCACTGTGTTAGCAAAACTCCTTCCCTCCTCCATGCCCCCTACCTAGGTTTTTCCTTTGAAAATCTCGCGGGTGCCATAGTTGTTGTCACCCCTGCCTCCTGCCCCTGGGCTCTGAGAGCTGAGCGTGCCTGTCCGTTGCGTTTCAGGCGCCACCAGAGCGATGGCAGCGAGATGTCCCACCCGCGGCTGCGCGCCTCCGCCAGGGAGCTGCGGGCCTCCCCCAAGCCAGCCAAGTCCTCCGTTGAAGAGGACCTGAAGAAACTGATAGATCTTGATAGCCCCACACCCGAATCCCAGAAGAACTTTAAGGTATGTTAGAGAGTCTGTCCTGGCTCCCTCATCACAGTGAAATGGAATCTGAGGGTACCTGAAGTGCAACACACAGGTCCTCTTCTGATCCAAGTCATAGTTCCTGAAGATACCTGAAGAGCAACACACAGGTCCTCTTCTGATCCAAGTCATAGTTCTGTTGTTACAAAGTAGAAATGGGTAAAAGCTACACTTTATAAGCATTTGATGATTGGTTTCATTTCTGACTGGTTATTTCAACTAATACAGCAAATGCTTCACATTTTGGAAAACAGTGAAGGCCATGAAGCTTTAAGATTTCTGTGTTTAAAACACTGTCAGTGCTTTAAAAGCAAAGCTGAAGCATTCATTCATACAGAGGTTACTCAGCTGGACACTTCATTGGACTCCAGTTTTGCAGAGAGGATCTTTTCTATTCTCAACCATAACAGGAAAATAAAATGCAGGGCATTCCCTGAATTCTCACCATGGACAGAAAGTTGTCCATTTGTCCCAGATCTGTCTACTTAAGAAAAATAAATTTGGGGAACAGTTTCATTATTACTATCACTGCAATATTATTACAGTTTTGTCTGCAAGTTTAAAGAGACTAGTACCCAAATTGCAAAGAATATTTAGGACTGCTGGCTGATGGAAAATCCTGTAGTGTTGCCCTATGCATTTGAGCTGTTCTTCTCTGATTGCCTCACTGGACAGTGACTTGTTGACAATATTGAAACTCCTTGCAAAGAGCATGCTTTTATCCCTTTCTAGTCCTCTTAATGCACAAGGACCAAGAATGCTCCCTAATCTTAGGCAAATATTTGTATGGAACAAATAGTTAGATTTCTGCACAAAAGTGCATATATTAATTCTGAAGTCTGTGCTTTTGAGGAGAAAGTCTTTATTTCTACAGTTTCCATGTATAGTCAGTGCTTAACAGCTCAGGCTCAGCACCTAGAGCCCACATTGGTTTCCACAGCAACCATGCAGAAGAGAGACCTGCAGGTTCCTCCTTTGCTTATAAAAACCCAAAGTGGCCTATTAAAACTTGTAAGTGCTAGGCTCCATACATTGATTATTTCAGATGTTACCTTTGAGGCCAGAGGGGAAAAACAAACCCTTGCCAATGGCAAGATACCTTTGTCTTAGGTGTGTGGTAGTTCTGAGGGGAGTGGGATGTGGGTGATACAAGTGTCTCCTGTTGGTTGTTTTGAGCAAGAGGATTGTTCTCATCCAGGAATTTCCATTCTGTTTAAGGAGGTGACCTGAAGACCATGAAAAGTGTGTGTTCCAAGTTCGTTGTTTTTCTTCTTTGAGTTTAGTGGATCGATTCTTACCCTGGTCTTTATTTCCTGGTGACTGTAACAAGTATGTTAGCTCAGGTTAGACTTTTGATAAATTTCTGCAAGTTAATAACATTCTATTGCACCAATAAATTAAATCTTTTCCATTTTAAAAGTAATCGTCGTTTCTGCCCACTGCATGATTTATATTTCATCTTACAAAAAAGTTGCTCTGACAGCATAATTTTTTTTGACAGTTAAAAAGAAAAGAAAAAAAATCTTAACGGCCTTCATTAGTTCACTGCACAAAGACCAAAAATCCTCTTCCTTCCTGTCTGTTGGCTGCCAGAGGCTTTGGCTGCTAACGGAATTTGCTGGAGGCTGTGATTTTATGCTTCTTATTACCTTCCCAGGCTTCCTTATCTCCTTACCTACTACTAATGCATTACGTCTTCTCAGACAAGTCACTCTGATTTTACTCTTCCCTGTGTTCTGTCACCAGAAGACAATTCGTCTTTGTATTGCCTCTGTTCTGACTACATTAGATGTTTATAACTGTGCAAACTTTTAATATGAATATCTGATACTAACTGGTGGTTCCAGCTCCTAATAATAGACTGGTAGGGGTTGGAAAGGGCCTCTGGAAGTCATCTCATCCAGCCCCCCTGGCAACATGTTTGCCTAGAGCAGGTTGCACAGGAATGTGTCCAGGCAGGTTTTGAAGGTCTCCAGAGAAGGAGACTCCACCACCTCTCTGGGCAGCCTGTTCTGGGACTACATCACTCTCACAGGCAGGAAGTTTTTCCTCATGTTTAGATGGAACTTTCTGTGATCCATTTTGTGCCCATTGGCCCTTGTCCTGTTGCTGAGCACCACCGAAAAGAGCTTGGCCCCATCCTCTTGACCCCCACCATTTAGATACTGATAAGCATTGATAAGATTCACTCTTGGTCTTCTCCAGGCTAAACAGCCCCAGGTGTCTCAGGCTTTTCTTGTAAGAAAGATGCTCCAGTCCCCTCATCATCCTCGTAGCCCTCCATTGGATTCTCTCCAGTAGTTCCCTGTCTCTCTTGAACTGAGGAGCCCAGAACTGGACACAGTACTCCAGATGTGGCCTCACTAGGGCAGAGTAGAGGGAGAAGAATCTCCCTGAACCTGCTGGTCACACTCTTCTTAATGCACCCAAGAAGAGCATGATCAAGAGAATTCTCTAAGACAAAGTGAACTGTACCACCCTCAAGTAAATGCTGTGCTTGACTTAGCAGCTCTTCCTTGTCCTTTGCCACTTCGGAGAAGTGCTGGGAGATTTTGCTGGGTCATAAGGTGAACCTGCTGATTGAGCTTTTAAATTTCAGAATAAAAAAGCAGCTTGATTGTCAGTGTAACACCGTGATGACTGTCTGCCAGAAGCTGTCCTTTCTGTTCCACTAGCTGCACATGCAGTGTTCATATTGTGATGGGCATGTCCTGAGGGCTGCAATGCACAAGGGACAATCTGCTGTAGGAGTTGGCATGGGACATGGCTTCTCTGTCCTGCCTTGTCTTTTGATGAAAGCAGGCTTTGGGGAGTAATCTTAGTTGTTGCTGATCCTTAATTGTCAAAACAAAACATGCACCAGTCTTTTAATATTAAAATTTGTAATGTTCTGAAAACAAAGTAAAAATCTGGCAGATTGTCTTTCACTGTAAGTACCAATAGTCCCTCCTCCATGCTCTTCTCCCACCTTGTAGTGTGGGATTTTGATCACAGGAATAGAGTACAGTCTGTTTGAACATTTATTTTTTCCTCTTTCTGGGAAGAGACAATTTTTCTGCGCAGGTGAGAAACTTAGATTTTTTAATCACTCT